GGTTAACAATTTATGGCTTGTATTAGACTTAAACTTGAAAATAGAAATAATAAGAAAGAATAAACAAGAAATAGTCAGAGAGTTAGCTTAAAACATCCTGGAACCCGTACAAAAACACTATAAAACTAAAATTTGATAAGAAACCGAATTTAAACAAAAACTACAATAAAATATTATGAAATAAAAGTTTTTTACATTTCATGGATATTTACAAATAGTTCGAGTTTCTAAGGTAACCACCAGTTAAACTATAATAGCAACCATATAATAATATTAATCATTTAACAATATTAATAATTCATAATGACAGTAATCACATTTAATACTTTACTATTTACGTTCCGAAAATAAACAGGTTATAGGTGACTTTGATGCCGACTAAATTACAATAAATTAATCATTATCGTCACTTTTTTTTGTTTGCAAGTAAGAAAATAAAAAATATTTTGTATTAAGTATTAATCAAACTACGCACTAAATAAAAGGCATATCTGTGTTAAATAAATGCGCCTGTCTGCCTGAAACAACAAAAAATTCAGAATTAAATGTCAAGTATGTTAGTGTATTCTACAAATGTATTCTACAAAAAGAGTGTTTTTTTTTTTTCTTTAATGTTTTCAAAGAGCAAAAAAATTAATAAAAAACTAGTGTTGTGTATTAACGACTAAAAAATTAGTGTGTGTAATTACGACTTTGAAATAACTCGACTGTCGACTAAATCGATCAAGGTGTTTTTCAAAATCGACTAAAATCGACTAAATTTTGTGGAAATCGACTAAATCGACTAAAAGTCAATTGATTCAAAATATTTGAATTTTGTTAAATTATAATATTAAAATGTTGCTCGGCAATTTATTTTTTAGATAAAATAAATAGAAATTTAAGAGACTAAACAAAAAAATTAGGTGGTATTATTCTATTAGATTAATTTAAATCGAGAATAAACAAACAAAACAAAAGTTACAATAGAAAAAAATAAGATGACCATTTTAAATGTCTTGGTTAAACAAAACACATTGTTCAGCCAAATCTGGTTTAAGTCTATTTCGCCGTTCTGTATTGACTTTAGCAGCACTTGAAACTCTTAACTCTTAACTCTTCAAAAGGCGTTGAAGAGTTAAGAGTTAAGAATTGATGAAGCAATTATACAAAATAGCGTCTTCACTATCTTTGACAAAAAGGGAAATAGGCATAAATTATTTTTATAAAATGCAAAAGGACATAATTTTTCCGATACTTTTATATTCATATATAAATAATTGATGATTTCGTTGCCTACTGATAACAAATTTTCTGATGACACTCTTTCACCGCATAACAATATTTTTCTTTTTTTTGATGGACTTCTTTGACTAGATGACGACTCTTGGCTAGACAACTGAAGGCTTGTTGGTATTCATTGAACAAATAAAGTATAAGCTTTTTTAATACAAGAAATTTTCGCCGTTTTGTTTGATGTAAATTTAAAATTACGAAATCGCGGATCTAAATATGTAGCTGCGTACAACTTTTCAATTTTAGGAAAATCCTCACATCTTTGATTAAAATTATCAAATAATCGTACAATTATATTCATAATTGTACGATTATTTGATTCACTTTTAAAGTTAGCAAAGTAATCAGTTAATTTATAAACGGCTGGTAATATAATTGAACAAGTGATATATTTTGATTCGCTCAAAATTTTTGTAAAATAATGTATTGGCTCTAATAAATCAAATAGCTTGTTAATGATTTCCAGTTCCCAGCTTTTTAATAACAAATCCTTATTGTCTTTGTTCTCTGGCTTGATAATGACGTCTTTGATCGATTCGCTAAGTTTAAAAACTGTCTGCTACATTAAAAAGGCCAAAAACTTATTTTCTATTCATTTAGAATTAACTCAATTTGCTCCTTTAAATATAGGCTAGTATGTGCTTTTGAGCTATGCTTTAATGCAATCCGAATGGATTTCAAACAAAAATTTTGATCAACAAAATGTACTGTGGCGTCGCTGTATGAATGCGAGGCTTGTGATGTCCATCCATCTGTGGTTAGATGGCAAAATTTAGCTTGGTTTAAAAGATGCATTACTTTTACTTTAAATGATTCAAATTTAAGCGGCACTATTTCATACAAAAACTTTTGTCTCGTTGGCAATTTGTACTTGTTATCAAACAAAGCTAGCATTTTAATAAAATACTTATTATCAACAATCGACAGCGGTTGACCTGTTTGAAGAACAAAGTTGCACATAGTTTCCTTTAAATCTCTATATTTCTGCGAGCTTAAACAATATGAGTGAGAGTTTGCAAATGCAGCTTTGATAGATACATGACCAGTTGTTGTACAAAAAAGTTTAGACTCTTTAATATTAATCCGGTGGTTACTATAGAAATAACTTGCCATAGAGCTTGTATTTTTATTGTATTTTAGCTCTTTGTTGCAATTTTCGTTTGTTAAAGTATCTTTATATTTACACGTTGTTATTGTAGAGTCATTGTTTTTCACAAAATAATTCCAGACTTTACTTTTATAAATGTTTCGATTCGACATTTTATTTCTACCATAAAAAGAGAATAAAAATAAAATAGCGATTACAATTAAGTCAAAGAAGACTTTTAAGTGTGTTCAGATAAGAATTCCTTCATGCATAAATAATGTCCTATTAGATTTGCATGAGTACCTAACATTATTATTATTAGAATTATTCTAATTGTTATTAATTTCTAAAGGGAGTTAAACCAATCGTTTAAAATGTCCATTGGTAATTATTATTATATGTATCAATCAATTAAAAAGAATTTCATTGAATTTATTGACTTATTGAATTTCAATTAAATTATAACCAGGGGTGTAGAGTCGCGATTTTGTTTAGCGACTCCAACTCCACAGCCCTGATTATAACAGAGAGAATTTTAAAAAAAGATTCTCTCTGTATCATTTATCAAAACAGTTAAAGCAAAAAATTTGTAAGGAATAATTTTTGTGGCGTACCAAGGTGGAGGCTGGTAGAGTCAAACTTTTTTGTGGATTTCAGATTAATAAAACTTTGTATCTTTTTGGCATCGTTAACTGATGATTCATTAAATATTTTTTTCAAAGAATTAACTTTTTATAACAAGTCAGTATAACGAGAAAAAATAAAGGTCAATGTAGTGGCACAGCATACATACACAGCTTAGTGCTGAGTTTATGTGAAACAGCAAATTAGGTTCAATGTTCAGACATTTTGGTTGAATTATAAAGCCAGCTATGAATAATGATCTCGGCCATGGCTCAATTTTTACAAATATTTTATTTTTATAAAATAATCTACTTATAAGGATATATCTTTACTAATTGGTCAGCATCATAATAAAATTAAATATTGACAAAATTAAATCAAACGAAGAAATAAAGATAAGAATTTCAGGATCCGACTAAATCAACTTTTAGTTGATTAGTAAAGTCGATTAAATCGACTATTAGATTTTTTATAGTCGACTAACTTCGACTTTCGACTAGTCGACTTTTAGTCAATTTAGTCGAAGTAGCAGGATTTTAAGGAAGCTTATATATATATATATATATATATATATATATATATATTATATATATATATATATATATATATATATATATATATATATATATATATATATATATATACTTAGGTCTTAGGTCAATATATATATATATATATATATATATATATATATATATATATATATATATATATATATATATATATTATATATATATATACTTAGGTCTTAGGTCAATATATATATATATATATATATATATATATATATATATATATATATATATATATATATATATATATACTTAGGTCTTAGGTCAATATATATATATATATATAT